CCAGGAAGTACCTACTTTGGTAATTCAAGCCGCCCAAGTGGGATTCAAAAGTTATGCGATATTAGGCTATGGAGCAGGCGATTAATGGGTCATGAATGAATTTGAAGAAGTTCTTTCTTAGAAATCCCGCGTTAACTACAACACTACATTATCAATCTTAAGTTTACTTCTCAACTTATTCAACTATACTAAGCATTATTTAATCTAACAAATCGGTCTTCTTTGTCTGAAATTGCGGCAAAATCATTTTTAATGAGACACACAAAGAAGTATATGAAACATAAATGTATTTCCTTTAGGAAATGTTCAGCTGGGCTCCGCACAAAGAAGGGGGTCTTTATGATGCACTCAGCTACAGGAAATGCTCAATTACTAGCATCAATTACTATAATTTGATAAAAAGGTTTTTAATTGCAGTAGTGTGCGTGAAAAAAGCTATTTTCCTACAAAAGCAAAAATTTTAACAATAAGCCTCTAAGAATTACCGTAGAACTTGAGCTTACTGATCTAACGGAACAAGAGTGGTATTAGAAAAAGTGGGGAGAGGGGAGGGAGCGGATGTGTGGGAGTATTTGAGAGCCATGAGAGGACAACAGTAAAAGAAAGTTTTTGCCCCTGAATCGAATGACAATTTTTTAAAAAATCCGCAAAACTATCAAAGCTTACTGCAGATGTAAAACATTTGTATGAAGGAATAGTATGTAATGTGACACGCGTAGGAGTTGGACTTATGGCAGGCATATTGTCGCCTCTTGCAATTGCACTAACTATTTGGCACTATTCCTATATTTTAAGTTGTTTCCTATGTTTAGATCTTGACGAAAACAAATCTAAGCATTAAGACATAACCCAGACAACTCGTCCAACTTTTCTCGTTCGGTGTCTCTTCTTCGCCAAACGGAATTGGCGCATAATACTCGTGGTGTCTTCTCACGTGACCTTGGGTCTAGAAGGGTCATCCTGAGAATCATACGCGAGATAGGCAACAATCTTGACAAAGGATAATTATTTTTTAGGACATAGGCGTCATGTATTGTCAAACGCTCTTTTGAAATCAGCGAGATTCAAAGCTTCGAAAACTTATTTCTCTTGTTCTCTCGAAAATTTTTGTGATATTCAGTGAGAAAAAAGGATTCCACTTATGCCAATATAATTTGCGACACGAAAGCCTCAATTACTTGGGAGAGAGTTGATCCACATATTGTAGGTTAGTTCAAAAATCGCATAAAAATTTTTCCCATAAATTTTCAACTTTCATCCATTATGCCCTGGAAATTCCATTTTTATAATCCGCTCTTAAAACCAAAGTGGAGTCTGCAAGAGAAAAGGACAAATGTACATTTCAAAGAAGAACAATTTGGAAACCCAACGAATAGCAATCGATGTAATGGTTAGAGAAAAACAAAGAGCAGATAGAGATACCCTTGAATTGACTAATTGCAATCTTACACGCAAAGACTAGAGAAGGAAGTAGTGTCAACAATGGAATATTTCGAACTTCGGACGAGTTTAGGAATCCACGATGATGCCTAAGCAGGCCAAACACAAATAATTTCCAACATTAATCATCTAATTACTATTCTTCGCAAAAAGCATTGCAAGAATTCAAACAGCAAAATCAAAGGTAATCGATATATTGATTGCTCAGGCATACCTGACTAGTCTGTGGCCGATCATCCTCGATAGCTGCACCACGGACGAGTCGTCGCACTCCAGTGGTGTCGCTCTGTTGTCGCACCATATTGGCGCTAGCCAGCAATGAGCGCG